TGTGTGTGTGTGTGTGTGTGTGTGTGTGTGTGTGTGTGTGTGTGTGTGTGTGTGTGTGGTACTGAAGGACACAGAACAAGCTTCATGAGGGGCCTGTTTCCCAGCCAGAAGCATCTCAGTTGTGTGCAGGTGAAAGGAGCTAACTCGGAGGTGATGAACTGGGAGCTTCCTCACCTGGAAAGCCAGGTGAGCCTCTGACAGGAGTAGCCGTGCTGGCTGGTACAGGTCCATCTCCAGCAGGATCTCTGCCTTGAGCAGCCACAACTGGGGATAGGATGTGCCATCCAAGCCCTTTCCAGTCTCTTCATTTATCTTCAAAATCTGCAAGACATCATGATCCTAAACTGCCACTGTTCATGTCTGTATCCTGTGACATGCTTTGGTGAAAGGGGGTCTTATCCTCACTGGCACTCAGAAAGCTTGTAGGCCACTGCCCACTGGCAAACACCATGCCTCCTGGACACCTGCCTCTACTAATTTACTCCCTTACACCCGCCATGAGTTGCAGAGTAGGCACTGCCTCCCTTGTATCAGTGGTCTCCTCCCCTTTCTGTATACTCTGACCAGTGTGGATGGGTCACCAGTGTAGCTTAGCAAGGTCCATGACTGACCCTAAGCCTCCTGGACTTGAATTACTTGCTAAGCCTTGGTCCTGTTGGAGGAGGCTACACACTCTGAGTCCCAAGTGCTTTCTTATTGCATCTCAAATGTAAACTTTGATGGGCTCATGAATGGGGCTCAAAGTCTGGTACTCTACAGAATCAGGTTCCTGGTGTAAGAGCATGGTGGTTGGGAAGGCTCCTTCCTTTTGGGGAAAACCCAGAAAGAAACCCTGTTGGTCTAGAGGAGAAAGCCAGTTGGTGGTAAGACAACAGGGGCCTTGAGAGGCCAGTCTGGACCATGATGGGTGTCCCCAGGAACATGTCCTGCTCCATAGGGAACTCATCTTCTCTCACTCGCTGCTCAAGACCCTTGCAGCCCTGTTCCATGGCAATCTGTGGTGCACATACATTTCATCTTCTCTGGGGATTTCTAAGGCCCCAGGTGGGAACATACTTAATCAGTCTCTGGGTTTCCTATAAAACCTAACACAAGAGTGCATGCATTAAACACTTAACCGATAAACTTTGGCCTGCTGTATTCCACTGCAATTCTGTACAGCAGACACATCTTGCTATGGAATCAGTGCTATGCAAAATGAAGTTACCTTGTCTTGTGCTATAAGGGGCTTCACCTCTGCTGGGTGGGAAGGAGCCACTTGCTCAGTTAGCCCTGGATAGCTATCTTCTAATATGGGTTCCTTGTTTTTCTCTTTTTTCAGTGCAATCTCTTTTCTGCAGCTAATATAGGTAAAACAGACAACATGCAAGAGATGAAACAAAACAAACAATAAAAATGGTCAATTTTATTAGTAATCAAAGAAATGCCAATTAACGTAGCCATTAAATTAGTCAATTAAAGAAGTGCTCAGAAATTTCCAGAACTTATATCTGTAGTCTGTTCTTCTCTTACCGGAAGACTTAGAAGTTTAGTATACCCTCAGACTCAATCCCTTCAGACATGCCTCTCCCTGCACCCATCTAGAAAGGCAAAGCTCCTGAGTTCAGGGCCACCACAGAGGCCCTGGGTGGGCCCTGCATTCTCCTGCCATACCACCCTGGACCCCTTGTTCTAAGTTATCTGCCACACCAGTCTATAGTGGTCCTTTAAAAAATAGGCCAATGTGTCCCAAGGTCCACCCCATGTCCGCTCCATCTCTTAGCCTCTCTCTGGCCCACTCCTGTCAGGGACTTTTACACTTCCAGTTTCTCTGCTGAACCCTCTCAGGTCCCAGGCTTGTTTTCCCCAACTGCCCAGGCTTCCCCTAACCATCTAAACATAGAATCGAGCCACACCATCCCCCGACTCCTGGTATCACTGTACCTCATCCACCCTCAGGCTCTTTGATGCCCTAAGTTGCAGGGTATCAAGGACTGATAATGAGAAGGAACAGGGAACCAAACCCTTAAGAAGGAACATCCTCAGCAGCTATTTTTATAAAATGGAGAAAATGACCATGCATCAAAACATGAATGCAGGTTATTGCTGAACGATGGGCCCAGTGATAACATTTATTTCTTCCTTATCTATGTTTTCTAAAATTTGAAAAAGGAAACATTTTACCTACATAATAAGAAAAAATAAAATCATATTACTAAATTAATAAAATAGAATTGTACATAACCATAGTACAGAAATATATCCAAGGAAGTCTCTAAATCTAAAAGTGATTGCTATAGTAATGATAATTAATTTATTTCATTGTTAAACAGCCCTCTGTCAAAATGCTAAGGCATCTCAGAGTGTCCCAGCACCAGAACCTCATGTGACATGTCATGCAGAGACACTTTCATGACCAATGTCCCCTGGGAGAGAGCTAGAATGGACCCATGGACGGCCCCTGCCCCCACATCTGACCATTCCCCATTTATCCCCTCAGAGTGCCCACTCAGCTTAAGATTTCACTGAAAATGCAGGGAAAGCCACTGAAGGGAATTACAGCATGCTCCCTGTGTGCTCACGTTCCTCAGCCGCTGCCCCACAGGCCCTCCAGGCACTGGGGTGAGGTTCCAGCTGCAGTTGCAGCAGGGCCTGGGACTGAGAGGGCACACAAATGATTCAGCGAAGGATGTGTCAGATGGCCCAGGGCCACCTGGAGGTCCTGGGATTTATCCTATCAGCCCTACTCTTTGGGCAAGCTTTAGTCTTAATTGTACCATGTTAGAGGGAGAGGGCACACACCCAGGAGTGTACTGTCTTCTGCCCCCCAGTGCGCAAACTGTACACACCTGGCTTGCTCCATGTCCCCGATATATGTCACCCCAACCACCTCTTCATGATGAGTGGCTGCATCTTGCAACCTCAGATTGGAACACACCTGGGCGAGTCTGGGGAAAGGACCAATACAGACAAGGTATGCTGTTACAAAGGATGCCCCCACTCAGAAGAGCAAGGTGTACTAGATTTTGTGTGTTTATAAGAGTGGATGAATTATTTATTTATTGAACCATTATTTATTATACCTTTTAGTCCTTATTTACACTTTCAATTTCTCACATCAGAGAAACGAATTAGTATTTACACATGTGTCCTATTTATTTCACTTAAGAGTTTTGCATCAATGTATATCCATCTAGCTATATATGTCTCTGATTTCTCATTTTTATGGCTGAAATATGCCTGGATGATGTTTTCAATGATTTTAAAAGATAAGCAAAGTTACTAGGGAAAAGTAACAGGTGACTGCCAGATTTCAGTTACAAGTTTTTGAAATTACTCATTCACAGATTTGACTCACTACATCATTTACAACCTCAACTGTCTTCAGAGGTAAAATATGGCTCTTTTCAACTCTAGCACAGCTTCAGGCAGGAAGCTATGCCTTGAGTCTTGTTGAAAACACTTTTATTTGCCCCTGTTACCAAAACAAACAAACAAAAACAACACTTTCATTCGGACACAATTATAGCTTTATAGAAAAGTCACACAGACAGTCTCAAGCAATTACCCACAGGTCCAGTGTGAGCCTTCACCAACCTCATTCTTTTTATTGTCCTCTCTGTTCTACTCCCCCTTCTCCTGGACTCCTTGAAGTAAACAATATAAAATATTTTTTTATCCCTACATGCCTCATTGTGTATTTCCTTAAAGGAAGGTCATTCTCTCAGGCACAGGTAGACATTTTTAATATAAAAGGCCATTTTTTTGTATTCAAGTATTTTCACTTTTTTACCTATAAATCTTAGGTGATTCATTGTTTATGCAAATAATTTCAAAATTAATATTTTAAGATGCTGTTTGCTTTTATAATACTTTGGGCATGGTTTCACTCTAGCCAACTTAAACATTTCCATGGACATAAGGGAGTGTACTAACCGAAGGTGGTAGAGATCTTCAAGGCTCTTGCTTTCTACCACAGAGTTTGCAATGAGGGCACCAAGCTGCAGGACTGGGATGGTGAGCTCATGAAGGGACAGCTTCTGCAAGGCCTTGACCAAGTGGTCCAGGTAATATAAACTGTATGTCTACAAAACAAAACACACAGAAAACACATAAGGTTGCAGGAATGTTAGTTCTCCAGTTTTGGGCCAGCATGGTACCTGGCACATAATAGGTGCACAGCAAATGTTGGTGGGATGAAGGAACACTCTGCACTTTTCCTTTTCTCTCTCCATGGTAGGCTTCATTTTGTCACATGCAATGGCCTGTAATCATCAGTATCCAAGTATAAATAGCCTCAAAAGAGAAGCATCCATTTATGCATTTATTCTATAATTGATGTGTTTCATTTTTCACTAAAAACTACTGATAGATCAAAATCAGTGTTTTTCTATCACACATACAAAAAACTAAAGTTTTTTTTAAAAAATTAATTTTATTGGTACATCATTGGAAATTTGCACCTTCACATGATCTATCTTGCTTCTTATTCCCCATTCCTCTACCCTCCCTTCAACCCTCCATCCCTGCCTGTTTAAGAAGACTTTGTTTCCAATTTTCATTTTCTCATATTAATTCCATTCCCTTCTTTCCTTTCCCCTACACAGTCCATTTCCTTTCCCTTTTGCCCCTTTTCTCCCTACTTCACATTATTTGTTATATTTTTTAGTCCTTATTTACACTTTCAGTTTCTCACACTAGAGAAACTATTCAGTATTTATACAAGTGTCCTATTTATTTCACTTAAGAGTATCACATCAATATGCATCCATTTAGCTATATGTATATCTAATTTCTCTTTTTTTAATGGCTGAGTACTAATCCATTTTATAAAAAGTTTTTTTCTTAAACAATCCAAAAATTCATTTGGAACCATAAGAGACCTAGAATAGCAAAAGCCATTTTAGGCAACAGACACATGGCACCAGGTGTAACAATTCCCAATTTGAAACTATACTACAAAGTCACTGTGATAAAAACAGCATGGTACTGGCAAAGAAATAGGCCTGAGGATCAGTGTAACAGACTGGAAGACACAAAAACAAATGCAGATGTACTCAGCTACCTCATCTTTGACAAAGGAGCTGTCCATCCTCAGTGGAGGAAAGATAGCCTCTTTAATAAATGGTGTTGGAAAAACTGGAGGTCAACCTGACACAGATTAAAATTAGACCCTTATCTTTCACCATGCACTAAATTAAAATCCAAATGGATTAAAGATCTAAATATTAAAACAGAAACATTAAACTTGCTGGAAGGTAAGTTAGGCAAAACTCTGGAAGACATTGGTATAGGAAAAGACTTTATGAACAAATCCTCAGTAGCACGGGAACTAGCAGATAGAATCAACAACTGGGATCTCATCTTACTAAAAAACTTCTGTACTTCAAAAGAAACCATCAGCAGAACTAAGAGACAATCTACAATGTGGGAAAAAATTTTTACCAGCTGTACCTCAGACAAAGGACTATTATCAAGGATATATAAAGAACTCAAAACAATCAGTCCCCCCAAATATAAAGACACGATTCAAAAATGGGCATCTGAAATGAACAGACATTTCTCAGACAAAGAAGTAAAAGCAGCAAGAAAATATTTGAAAAAATGTTCCACATCACTGGTCATTCGAGAGATGCAGATGAAAACAACACTGAGATTCCACCTCACCCCACAAAGAATGGCTGCTATCAAGAAATCACACAATAACAAATGTTGGCAGGGTTGTGGGGAGAAAGGAACCCTTCTCCATTGTTGGTGGGAGTGCAGACTAGTGCAACCGCTATGGAAATCAATGTGGAGATACCTCAAAGAGCTTGGAAGGGAGGTTCCATTTGACCCAGCCATCCCTCTGCTGGGTATCTTCCCAAGAGAACTAAAAGAATCATATCACAGAGAAGTATGTGCACCCATGTTTATAGCGGCACAGTTTGTAATAGCTAAATCTTGGAAACAGCCTATTTGCCCATCCATTGGAAGCTGGATAAAGAAGTTGTGGTTTTTCTATAAAATGGAATATTACTCAGCCATAAAGAATGAGAAAATAGATTCATTCATAGGAAAATGGATACATATTGAAGATACACTCCTAAGTGAAATAAAGAAGTCACACATGTGTAAATACCAAATAGTTTCCCTGGTGTGAATATTCTGCAACAATGCATAAGATTCTAATAAGATTACTGAGATTTAGAAATGGGAAGAAAGGAGCTAAAGGTGTAGGGAAGGTGGGATTGGTAGGGGAAGAGTAAAAAGGGAAAAGAAAAAAATATGAGAGAATGAAAAGATGAAAATAAAGTGTTTGTAGATGGGGAGGGGAGGAGGGGGTGAAGGGAGGGCAGAGGTAAGGGGAAAAAATGAGAATCAAGACTTGTCATGTAAAGGTACAAGATCCCAACAATGAATGTAACTGTACTGTATCCCTAAAATGTACCAATAAACTCAATTAAAGCTGAAAAAAATTTTTTTCTTTTTTTTTTCTCCCATTAAGTTTATTGGTACATTTAAAGCAAACAGTACAGTTATATTTATCACTGGGATCTTGTACCTTTACATGATATGTCTTGGTTCTTGTTTTTTCCCCATACCCCTGCCCTCCATTCACCCTCTTCGCCCTTCCCTACTTACAAAGACTGTTTCCATTTTTTCCTTTTTTTTTCGCATTTTTTCTTTCCCTTATTTCATTTCCCCTACCCTTCCCACTTCCCCTTTAGCCATTTCTTCCTATTTTACACTCCCAGTTGTGACATCTGAACATTATTTATACTTTTAGTGTTTTACACCAAAGAAACTATTGGGTATTACTCATGTGTCCTATTTATCTCACTTAAGAGTATAGCCTCAATGGGCATCCATTTAGCTATAAATTTTTCTAGTTTTTCATTCTTTATGACTGAGTTGTACTTCATTTTATAGAAACACCACATTTTCCTTATGGAGTTTCCAGTTGAGGGGTATTTGGGTTGTTTCCAATTTTAGCTATTATGAACTATGCCACTATAAACATGGATGTACATATATCACTATGGTATGATTCTTTTAATTGTTTTGGAAAGATATCCAGCAGAGGGATGGCTGGGTCAAATGGGGCCTCTAATCCTAGTTCTTTGAGGTATCTCCATTTTGATTTCTATAGTGGTTGCACCAGTCTACACTCGCACCAACAATGGAGAAGGGTTCCTTTCTCCCCACATCCCCTCCAAAATTTGTTATTTGTTGATTTCTTGATAGTAGCCATTCTTTCTGGGGTGAGGTGGAAACTCAGTGTTGATTCCATCTGCATTGCTCGAATGGCCAGTGATGTTGAACACTTTTTCATATATTTATTTGCTGCTTTTACATGTTTGTCTGAGAAATGTCTGTCCTTTTCAGATACCCATTTTTGGGCCTTTGTGTTTGGGGGCCCTGATTTTTTTTTGAGTTCTTTATATATTCTAGATAGTAGTCCTTTGTCTGAGGACTAGCTGGTAAATTTTTTTTCCCCACATTGTAGGTTGTCTCTTAGGTCTGTTGGTGTTTCTCTTGCACTGCAAAAACTTTTTAATACAATGAGATCCCAGTTGTTGATTCTTTGTGCAAGTTCTCATTCTGCTGAGGATTTGTTCATAAAGTCTTTTCCTATGCCAATGTCTTCAAGAGTTCTACCTAATTTACTTTCCAGTAAGTATAGTGTTTCTGTTTTGATATTTAGATCTTTTGTCCACTTTGATTTTAGTTTAGTGCATGGTGAAAGATAGGGATCTAGTTTTAAACTTTGGCAAGTGGAAAACCAGTTTTTCCAAGAAGATTTATTAAAGGAGCTATCTTTCCTACAGTGAGGATGATTGGCTCCTTTGTCAAGGATGAGGTAGCTGAGTATATCTGGAATTGTTTCTGCATCTTCTAATCTATTACATTTATCCTCAAGTCTGTTTCTTTGCCAGTACCATGCTGTTTTTATCGCAGTGACTTTGTAATATAGTATCAAGTTGGGAACTGTGATACCCCCTGCAATGTTTCTGTTGCCTAGAATGGTTTTTGCTATTCTAGATCTCTTCTTGTTCCAAATGAATTTTTGGATTGTTTTCTCAAATTCTGTGAAATACACTGTTGGGATTTCAATCAGGATTGCATTGAGTCTGTATGGAAATTTTGGAAGTATGAGCATTTTCACTATGTTGATTCTTGCTACCCAGGAACAAGGGATGTCTTTCCATCTTATATCCTCTTCTATATCTTTTTTCAGAGTGCTGTAATTTTCAGTGTAGAGGTCTTTTGTCTCCTTCGTTAGATTTATTCCTAGATATTTCACTTTATTGGTGTTATTGTGAAAGGAGTTATTTCTCTAACTTCTCTCTCAGTGAATAGAATTATACAAATAACAATAGAATTAGAATAATTAGAAATATTCTAATTCTATTGTTATTTGTGTACATGAAGGCTATTGATTTTTTAGTGTTGACGCCAATATCCAGGTACTCAACTGAATCTGTCAATTAAGTCTAGAAGTCTTTTGGCAGAGTTTTTTATGTAGAGTATCGTATCATCTGCAAATAGTGACCTTTTAAATTCTTCATTTCCTATCTTTATTCCTTTTATTTCTTTCTCTTGTCTAATTACTGTGACTAATGCTTCTAGAATGATATTGAACAGGAGTGGTCATAGTGGACATCCCTGTCTTATTCCTGATTTTAGCATGAAGGTTTTCGGTTTTTGACCATTTAGAATGATATTGGTTGTTGGTTTTTCATAGACAGCCTTTATCAGGTTGAGATAAAGACCATCTATTCCAATTTTCTGTAGGTTTTTTTTATCATGAAACGGTGCTGAATTTTGTCCAATGCTTTTTCTGCATCTATTGAGATCTTGTTTTTTGGTATGTTTTTTGTTTTTGTTTTTGTTTTTTTTGCCCTGGACTCTGCTAATATAGTGTATTACATTTTTTGATTTACATATGCTGAACCATCCTTGCATCTCTGGGATAAATCCAACTTGGTCAGGGTATAATCTTCTTGATGATCTTCCGTATTATGTTTGCCATTATCTTAATGAGCATTTTTTCATCTATGTTCATTAGGCCTGTAGTTCTCTTGTTTGGTTGGGTTCCTCC